GGCGATAAAGCAATAACAGTTGCTGTGTTGTAAATTGTAAAAATACTAGCAGAAAAAACAGTGTAAATTATATAAATTTTCAGTAGCAAAATGGAAATTAAATCAAAAAAATAAATGGATAGCTGTACAATAAGAAGAAAAACCTTTATTTTTGTAATAATAACAGTAATACTGGAAATAGTAGATATCAGAAAATTGAAAAGTTTTAAATGAACAATAAATTATTATTTTACAATGTTGTTCAACATCCCTTAACTCTTAAATGTTGAGCAAGAATTAGATTTCTGCCTTTAAATATTGTATGTGGCTGAAGTGCAAATTTGTGACTTATTGAAAGGAAACCAATTTTAAAACTAAAAATTAAGAAAATATGAATTACAACCGCAAATTTACCAATTATTTTTGATACTACGTTATTATATAATGGTAATATTTTTATTTTCACATTATTTAACCTTTTCGTCAATGACAACTTATTAGGCTTAGGCAACATATCATACATTTTCTCGTAATTAGAAATTCCATTAAAAATTGTATAGTCAGTATACGCAAATATTGTCCGTTAGTTCATAAAATAGTTCGCGCTGCTGTCACGTACAGAGCGAATAATGAATGAAAATAGGCTGACTGCGCTTTGCATGATGAGCGACATCGAAAAATAATCGCAAAAAACTAAAAACAAATCATGTTTTCTTTTATCGGTTATTGTAGGTAGAGGAAGAAGAAATTAAAAATTTGCGTTTTCCTAGTGTTCGTCGACGTGTTTGAGTGAGTTTTTTGTTTTCCTGTTTAAAAAATATATATTTTAAGTTTCTTGTTTTTTTATTTTAGTTTTTGTCTTTTTTGTTGAGTTACTTTATTTATTAGAAACTTTTGTTAATTTGTCATTTTTCATTTTCTCTGTTTTTTAACAAATAAAAAATTTAAATTTTTTCAAAATTTTGCCCCCTCCTATAGAATTGTGTAACGACGCCCATGATTGAAAGTTGTTAGGAATTATTAGGAATTATTAGGAGTTATTAGGAGTTATTGGGAGTTATTAGGAGTTATTATAAGTTATTAGGAGTTATTATAAGTTATTAGGAGTTATTAGGAGTTAATATGAGTTATTGGGATATATTAAAAGTTATTAGGAGTTAGGAGTTATTAGAAGTCATGAGGAAGTAAATATAAGTAATATGGATTTACTATGAATTATTAGAAGTTTTTATGAGTTATTAAGTTATTATGAGTTATTATGGGTAACTAGGAGTTATTAGGAGTTAGGAGTTAGAAGTTATAAGAAGTTATAAAAACTGATTATGTTTATAGAGGTTATGATGAGTTATGAGGAGTTATTAGAAGTTACAAGGAGTTATTAGGATAAATTAGAAGTTATTAAAAGACAATATGAGTTATTGGAAGTTATCAGGAGTTATTAAGAATTATTATGAGTTAGTTATTAGGAGTTATAAGAAGTCATTAGGAGTTATTAGGAGTTATTAGGAGTTATTGGGAGTTATTAGGAGTTATTAGGAGTTATTAGGAGTTATTAGGAGTTATTAGGATTTATTAGGAGTTATTAGGAGTTATTAGAAGTTATTAACAGTAATTAGTAGTTATTAGTTGCTATTGGGAGTTATTAACAGTAATTAGTAGTTATTAGTTGCTATTGGGAGTTATTAAAAATTATTGGATAATATTAAAAGTATTAGAGACAGGATTGTTGTAGCAATTAAGTTTCATAAAAAGGCGACAACCTCACATCTCGTGAACAAAAAAGACACGTATGTGGCATCCGAAGCAAAGGGTTAATCACCTATATTCAATAAATAAATCGTGTTAAATTAATAAAATAAATATTTATTCGTAAATATATGTATTGATGTATACATTTCTGGAGGATGACGTCATAAAGTTCAAATTGGAGATACCAATATCGGGGTGGAATATAACATTTTTTATTAATGAAATAGCCGAGAATAACAACCATAGAGAAGCGACAATAACTGTTGGTCCTTTGAAATTCGGAGAGTAAAATTTTGTGACTCTAACTTATGAGATGGATAGCCGGTATAATACACCGATAAAAAATTATAATGGAGCTTAATTAATGATAAAAATATTATATCGAAATTAAAAATAATATTTTACTTTAATTTGGTCACTCACACCTATCCACACTCAAATGCCCGAGAAGATACGATAATTTAACAAAATATCTCATAAACATAAAAATTTAAGTAAAAACTTCATTAAAAACAACCTTTTTTTGAAGTTCAACAAATAGTATAAAATATAGTTAAAAATCATTTAAAGATATCAAGAAATATTGATTCTTACCTGAGTTATTTAAATCTATCAAAATAATTTTAAAATATTAGCTGGACAACACAAATTTCTCTATGTTTAAACGATTACACCAGGCCCATGACACTCCCTGGGCGGGAAAAAGACGCGCAGCTTTTACTGCGCTGACGTTTTCGGGATATAACCTATCACTTGTCATAAATCCGGTTAAAAACTCGCTACCATGCGCAGGCAACCCATATTTCGTACACAAATATAAACTTTTGTTTACATTTTATCGAAGTAGTTTTCAGTAGTTTTTGTAATACATTCACAGCTTAAAAACGGAAAATTTGTTATTTTGATAGTGGATTTAGATAAAAAATACCCCAAATACACTTCAGTGTGTGTTTTATCCTTATTATTGCTCGTTTTATTTGAGGACATTGGAATAAATAGAGTACTAAAAGTAATCAAGCTAAAAAGGTGTGTTATAAAAAGAAAATACATTGCCTTCGACTGATTTATGTTTAATATGTTTTCGTGAAGTATTTCCAACATGCTAGTTACTTGAATGGTTGTAAATTGTACGTGTATAAGTGATAAAAACATCTAGTGCTTTGTGCTTCCTTTTTTTCTGTTGGTGTCCATTTCTAGCCAGCAATAGTAGCAAAAACATTAAGATTGTCTACATTCAACCCATTTACATGTACATGATTTATCAGCTAAAAGCAGAATACAATATTTCTCTGCAAAATGTAAACAACGCTACAAGGAAAATTGCTCATGTATAAATTCAACAATTAAATCAAAATATATTATTTTTAAAGGACTTATATCAACTATTATGTTAATTATAAATATTATAAGTATTTGTAACAAAATAATAGTTGTGTATTAATAAACCTGTTGCTACTCCAAAAAATATATTATTTATTGATTATCAGGTATCAAAAATATGTGTACCTATAGAAATTTGTTGAAATGTTCTATTGCTCTTAATCTTTTTAATGGGTTCTTATTATAGTTGTAAATAAAAATCAACACTTTTTATCCGTCTATTTAACAATTACAAACGTATGCATATTTTAAGTTGTAAGGATCCATAGCCTCTCAATGTTTTACATTAGAAATAAAACCTGTGATGTCACATTAAATCGTTAATATGAGGTAAAGGATTTGGGAGTAGTCTTTCAGTCTAATTTAAAATTCAATAACCATTTTTTACACATAACTAAAAAAGCATTAGGTTCTTAAATCAGAAATACAAACAAATTTAGGATTACCACCGAAATCAGATTATATAATGCCTTAGTAAGACTCCATCTTGAGTATGTTTCACAAATATGGATGCCCGTGGAAGCCACACAAATTGATCATATTGAAAAAGTACAAGTACAAAATATGTTTACAGTACCTTTATGTCATAAAAAATACTTGTACCCTTATACCTAAGATCTCGTATAAAACTATGCTCAATAGTTTTAAGATTAAATCTCTTTTACAAAGAAGAAAGCAACAGGCTGTGATATATTTTGTACTCTATTTTAAGTACAAAGATTGTGAATTGATTGATTATATAAATGTTAATGCGGCAAAGATTAATCTAAGAAACCCAAGTAACAATAAATTATTTGATTTAGATCCAAGTAGTATATCTCTTTTTAACAAGATGATGGCTGTTACCAATGAGTTTCTTAGCGAGATCCAAATAGATATCTTTAATGTTAGCCTAAGAAAGTTGAGGACTGTACTAAATTAAGTTCACTAGATATAAAGGTTTGTTTTGTTTTTGGTCTTAAATTTCTTGTTACTTAACTCTACATGTAACTACTATTAATTTTTTTTATAGTATCCAATAAATAAATTATACCTTATGGCTGCTTTCAAACAATTCTGTGTGTAGTCACTTAGTTTAAAGTCAATTTTAAATTAGTGGTTTTACAAGAATGTCAAATAGTAATATGTATTGTGTCTATGAATTTGCTGTGTGTAGTAAATGGCCAATATACATAACTTTGATATTTTTATCACAAGTGTAAAAACTGCGAAAACCATATACATATAGTTCCCATTTTAAAATAAATTCAAATTAATTCATAATAAAAAATAACGATTTTAGTCTGCCATACTTGAACTCATTCACAAAAACAAGTCACTGAGTATATATTTGTAAAAAAACTACACTAAATATGTCTCCGTTACAAATTTTTAAATTTAAAACTACATACTTTCCTATAGATTTTGCAGTACCTAAATAACGTATAGAATAAATTTTTACAATATACTAGAAAAGTTTTAGATTAGAGTTAAGAAATAAAGCAATACCTCTATTTTGTTACTCTAACCTTGTGTGTTATATATTTCCCTTGACAAACTAACGTTATATTTTGAACTAAAAGTAATTATACTTTTCACCAAAAAGTAATATTTCACATATATAAAAAAATTTAAAACGGTTCTGTCCTTCTTACATTTGCGAAGACTGCCCTGATATCTAATCTATTTTCTTCTTCAAAGTAATTAAGTTGTTCAACCGTTGTCTATTAAGGTATCTCACATCTCCCTCATACACACAAATTTGAAAAGCAGCAGAACAAAAATTCAACTAACCATGTATACCAAGTCCGTGTAAAGAAAACTTTTCATATCCCGAAAACGTCAAGTGTCAACTAAAATTTCTACTTTTAAAGATCAAACGTGCCGCCTCAGAGTGCCAATACTGATTGGTATATATACTGGGATTACACTGAGGACGCTGAGAACAATAACGTGTACTTCTTGGGACGACTAAGATTCAACTACACATGCCCGTGCACGAAGAAAAGTTTATAAGCGAGGATGGAAAATTATTATTCGTGGGACATTCCTTTGGCTCTGGGATCTTTTTTAGGAATTTTTAATTTCATTTTTGAAATTTGAATTTTGACCGCCTAAATCCTTTAAATCAACGTATACCCAATTTTTTAATAAAGATTTATGCCAAATGGATAAAAATTTTATTAAATTATATAGTTTGGTCTTATTAACAACTAAAATAGCAGTGGAAACTTTAACTACATGGTAATATAAAATATATGTAAGGTAAGTATAATAATCGGGACGAAAATGTAAAATTGGCATTTATATGTAACTCAGTTAATTATGTCAAACAAAACACTTTAAAGATAAGTTAAAGATATTTACCTATAGCTCACAAATCGCTGCACAAATACTTTACTTTACACATTACTTTGTTTTAGGACTAAGGGTCCCAAACACGAGAGTTCTCGACTTCGGCAGGAGTTATGCACCTCAGTCCTCACTCGAGTCTATTCTTTCTTTCTAGTCTCTCTATATAAACTCAAAATTTACGTTATACTTTTACTTGTTAGAATGCCAACGTTCTACCTTGAATTCTCTAGTTCAATGTAAGCCATTGACTAGATTAATACCCTAATTGTTGACGTTATTGTAATCCGTGAGTTTATTTTAAAATTTTTGGTAAATTCTTTAAATTTTTAAATAATAATGCCAATTCCCAACTAACAAAGTAGCTTTATAATTTTTAGTTTATAAGACTATTATATTTTATTGATATTATATTGCTGTGTCTGGAATGCTAATTTATTGTATTACAGTTGCAGAAATCACCATTTTGTTCTCTGAAACTAAATTGTTATATAAATTAGTTTTTACAATATTCTTACAGCAAAATTATAAAATAGTTTTCACGATAACTATAAAATTGTTACGTAAACATTTATACAACTGTTCTATACAATATTTCAGCTTATAAAATAAAATTGCTTTATAGTTATTCTATATTATTGTTCTGGATTACCTTTAGAACTTTTTGGTTATACAAATATAACTGTTTCTTAACCTCATAATAACGCTTTAAAAAATAGTTATATAAATATTAGTGTGAGATAATTCCGCATCAATAGCAATTTGCTTCTGATGAAAACTCTAAAATAACTGTAATATATTGTCGAAATACACTATTACAAATCAGAAAACTGTATAGCAATTATTTTAGTTAAGAATAGTATTATCACTTTAAAAATATTTATAAAAAAAAATAAAGCAACTACATTTGGTAGTACCTACGCCAGATTATTTTGTATTTTATGTTCGTTCAACTACTTCCCATACCAATTATATGTGAGTGTATGGTCTGAAAATGTCAGATTTAAATAGTAAAGAAATATTAAAAATAAGTGGTACCTGCTTTTCAGAGAACAGTAAAAAATATTAGTAAAACATTTTGCTGGTTTGTCTAGACACTCAAAAAAAAACTATCATTCAGCCAGATAATAATTAGGTATGTTCTGAATAATCATGCCCCAATACTAAAAGAAAGCCATATTTTTGGCGATGTCCATGTTAAACTTGCTTATTCTCGTAATATTAAAAATTATGCTTGCTCTATAAAGCTGTAGAAACAAATCTAATCATTTCAATTCTCAAATACTTAAATCGGAAATGATTTAGTAAGGTTATGTTATATTTTGTCATATAGTGCAGCAATATGAAACTATTATACAACAAACCATGATGAAGTTGTTTTGTAGAAATGAGTAATACAACTTAATTATTGTATTACAGCTGTTTTTACTACAATAATATTTTATAATTATGATTCAGTCTTAAAATAACTTTCTAATACCTCTGAATAGCCGCCATATTTAACAAAAACCTAAGACAGTTTTAAAGCTAAATCTACTGTCGGTTTTACTAGTATTTAAGACAAAACCAATGTTAATTAAAGATTTTAATTATTAGTAATATTAGCATAATCTTATTACTAAAAAAAATCAAATTGCATAAATTTAATTTTTGTTTCACACTGAAAAAGTATTAGAAATATGAATCAAACTCGAGGCGCTTAAAAATTTAGTATTGTATGTGCTATATAATTAACAGTAATTTTTGCTGCGCATCCAAAAACGACTTTATTGTAGGTCATACATTATGTCTAAACCGCGTTATAGATATCTCTTAAGTAGATACTGCCATTTTACTAATATCGCCTTGAATTTACTTTTATGACAAATATAGAATTAATTTGTTTTCACCAGATACATTTAAAAAACTAAAATGTTACTGATTTTGATATGCAACCTAACCTTAAAATTTAAAATTTATAAAACAGTTATAAAAGTTTAAAAAAACATTTGTTTAAAGTATGTGTAAATGTGTAGTAACTGTTCGGTAACTGCATTCAACAAATCTTATAGAATTTACAAAAGAACCAAATAGTTCTGTAATACTGCGCCCATTTTGTGTTTATTACTGTTGAAAGAATGTTCCGGAAATGTTCTTAGCTAATATTCTATTTTATAAATTTGGTTCTGTAAACATTTTTTCAGCTTTTATAAAATATCAAATTGTTACTTGGGTTATTACAATGTATTATACTGGATTTAAAATTAAATTTCCTTTTATGCAACTCATGCATTTTTTAAACTTTGTTTTTAATTTTTAAGTAAGAAAAGTTTTTAGTTCTAATATGCCTAGGCAGCTCTCAGTCCGTATGCATGTCAGAACAGGCTTTTCCAACTGGGTAGTATCTAATTAAATAAATAATATTAGCGAGAAAGTACAATTATAAACCAAACAGATTATTTAATTTTTTTATGCTAAGGATTAATAGCAAAATTACATATTATCATCAAGAAAAAAAAAATAAAAATAGGGGATTTTATGATTAACAGTATCGATATATTTTTTTTGATTCGAAGTTTAATATTTTAATAAAAGTGTCACTATTACGTTGGATACATTTTTTAAATTTGTTTAGTTTGATTATAATTTTAATTTCAAGTGCGATAAAGTTGTTAAACTAGGCCAAAAAATAACGTAGGATGGCTTTTTTATATTTGTAAATAAAAGTCTTTGTTAATAGTTGATCTAGTTTTATTTGATATTTTTGTTATTTTGAACTCTGATTAAACATTGATAAGAATCAATCAACAAATTGTTAACAATTAATTTTAATAAAACAACATTTCTTCCATTTACTAGTTACGATTCAAATTTACCTGAATATGATTCAATTAATATAAATTACAACAATGAAAATGTTTGTATAAAAATGTCAAAAACAACTAAATACTTGGGAATTATAATAGATTGTAATTTAAAGTGGAATGCACACATTAGTAGTGTTATAAAGAAAATTAGATTCCATTTAGCAAAATTTAAATTTTTAAAATGTTTTTTGGATATCCCCCACTTAAAGATGCTCTATTATGCATTAATACAGACTCATCTAACCTATGGTATTATCGCTTGGGGAGGTGCGGCAGATATCCATATTAAACATTTACAAATAATACAAAAATGGATTTTAAAAATTATTTATAATAAAAACTATACTTACCCAACAGAACGTTTATTTGTAGAAGCAGAAGTTTTGGATTTGAGACAACTTTTTTACCTACGTGTAGCAATATTTCAGAAGAAGCATATTTTCCTTAGCACTCCGGTACAACATTTATACCCAACGCGTTATAAAAATCATGTGATCACCGTACCTAGAATGGAAAAGACTCTAGGGCAAAGAAGTTTTGTATATCTCGGTCCTAAAATATTTAACGCACTTCCGGTGGAATTTAAAAACCTAAATTCTATAGCTCTTTATAGGTCTAAATTACAACAATGGATATTAACTAAGCAACGACAAAAATTTCATAACTTTATTAATTTAAATATAACTAAAATCTAAAACGAACTTACCTGCAATTATCCAATTATTTATGTATACAATAATTATTTATAAACTATTCAATGCTGTAGCTAATTTGTCTCTATAATAAATAAAAGAAAAAAATAGTAAAAAAAAGAAATGCTATGTAGAATATAATTCTCAAAGTATCCCACGCACAAGGTTCGCCTTTAGTGGAACCACTATTTATTCACATAGACAATTTTTTTTCTGTTAAATATAAGTTAAAATTGTAATTCGATTTTTAAAGTGAATAAATTTATTATTATTATTAATTATATTAATTTTAAAAATGTTTATTTCCTTATAAAGAAATTCTGTGAGATAGAGGTTATTTTTTTCACTAAATATATTATAATTGTAATCTGAGTAACTTGGAGAGCATATAAATTGCTATGAAAAGCACCAGATATTATATTACTATGCTATATCTTAAAGCAGACTCAATTAGCGATTGATATAGCATTATTAAGTTTTCTCTTTACAGTATATCCCTTAAATGTAACGCCTATGCATAAGATAAACGTTTGTTTACATTTGTGATGTGCTTTATCCAACGTATATTCTGATCTACGATTATACCTTAATATTTGATCTAACTAAATTTGAATTATTATTTTTCTGAAACATATTTACAACATGATAAAACTTTAAACTGCCTGATAGCAAAACTCCACCTGTCAGCCCCAATAATAGCCCTTTTTTTCTAGTGTAGTATGCGAACGCCCCTCCGTTCGGACGTCGACGCCGTATCCTACGCCGACGCCGACGTTTTTACCACAAGTATGCGCGTACCAAAAACATAACCATCCCGACTTCCAGACCAAATATACCATGTAGCGCCCCAGGCATTGTTCCGAGGCTGAAACAGGTAGGGAATTTTTAATGAATTATGTATTAAACGCGACAACACGATGATTTTATCTTGTTAAATAGAATATTTTATGTAGCATGCCTTTGTCTATTTTTTTTATCGAGTTTAGTTGGAATTTTTCAGGCTTGTTTAATTTTTAAGTAAAATAAATTTTTAAAGAAGATTTTTTAAGTGCGATACATGTTTTAAACAAAAATTTGTTTGAGTGTTTCAAAAATCTTATTTATTTTTTGTTTTATTTGAAAAGAACAACAGGTAATTCTTATTGTGTAAAATCTAAAAAAAAATGTTTTATATTTTTGCTGTATTTTTATGAATGTTGATTTGAGAGACACTTTCAAAAAGTGATTTTTAAATTCAAGATTATTGAACTACTGCTACCCGATTTAATTATTTTTATGATCTATATATTATTTGTATTAAAATTGTTTATCTTTCAACATTTTTTAGAACATGTTTTGTAGGCTTTGTTCTACTTTTTATCAAGGTATTGGCCGATAGTTTCACAGGGGTGTTTAATTTTTGAAGGGCGCGAATTTTTATAGGGATTTCAAGTGTGATACATGTTTTAAATGAAACTTTGATTCGATGTGTCTCATTTCTTCTTGATTAATTTAAAATTAACAGTTATTTGTTATTGTGTACATTCTCATAGAAATGTTTTATACAGACAGACACTTTAATTTTTGAGTTTACATAAATGTTTAAAAGTGATTTTCAAATTCAAGATTATTGAACTACAGTAGATTATCTAAATTGTTTTTTATGAACTGTAAATTATTTATATAAAAATTAGTTTATTTTTCAACATTTTTTAGAATATGTTTTGTAGGCTGTGTTTTACTTTTTATTAAGGTATTGGCTGATAATTTGACAGGGGTGTTTAATTTTTGAAGGGCGCGAATTTTTAAAGGGATTTCAAGTGCAATACATGTTTTAAATGAAATTTTGATTGGATGTTTCTCATTTCTTCTTGTTTTATTTAAAAATAACAGTTATTTGTTATTGTGTACATTCTCATAAAAATGTTTTGTGCAGACAGACACTTTAATTTTTGAGTTTACATAAATATTTAAAAGTGATTTTCAAATTCAAAATTATTGAACTACCTGTTCTAAATTGTTTTTTTTTGAACTGTAAATTATTTATATTAAAATTTGTTTATTTTTCAACATTTCTTTAGAATATGTTTTGTAGGCTTTGTTTTACTTTTGATCAAGGTATTGCCTGAGCATTTTACAGGGGTGTTTAATTTTTGAGTGGTGCGAATTTTACAAGGGATTAAAAGTGCAGTATATGTTTTAAATTAAACTTCATTTTGATTTTTACAAATTCACTGTTTTTGTTGTATCTACAAAGAACAACAGTTGCATGCAGATTTTGTTATAATGTAGATTTCCAAAAAATATTTCATATATTCGTTGTATTTGTATGAAGTTGACAGTTAATTTGCAAAACACGTTTGAATTTTTATAAATATTTAAGAGTAACTTTTAATTTTTGAATAACCACAATTTTTAAAAATAGTTTTTAAATTCAAGATTTATCAAAACTAAATGGTTTTAGAAACTGTAAATTATTTGTATTAAAAATATTTAACTGTCAAATTTTTTTATGTTATATTTAGAATTGAGAGTTTATTTAAAGAAATAATTAATAAATAATTATTTATGAATACTCGGTAAGAACCGAGTCTTTGTATGAGTTAAATAACAAACAAATAATAAATATTAAAAATATACAAACTATAATATGTAACACAGTAAACTAAAACTAAAAAGTAATATGATCATATTCCAAAGGAATTTGTAGAAATATTTTAGCGGTATGGGCATTCAAATAACTCATAAATCGTTTCACGAGGCACTTCAGATAGGTGTTTTTTAAGGCGCTTTTAAAGTGTATTTTTTTTGTAATATGTAGGATATCACGTGGTAGATATGAATGATTTCAGATACTCATATAATTGCTAACCTATATATTATTTGTTCTAAGTATTTACTTTTGAGTATGTTCATTTGTAGTGTTCCGTTTTCGAAGGGTAACCAACAGGACTAAGCTTCAGTTGTTTGTATTTCATTATACGTAGTAGGTAGACAGTTAAAATTTTTAAAGAATGTGTATTTTTGTTTCCGCTATAACAAATAATAAAAATAAATTAAAAATTAAAGGGGCTTCCCTACTAGAAAGGTGTTTTTTGGCTTTTTTTTGATCGGTCTTAATAATTTAAAAAGTATAGTACAAGCAAGAAATATAGTGTGACTTTAAAGCCAGCCGGAAACATACAAAGAAAATTAAATTAGTAGAGGAGCATTCAAGAGATTGAGTATACTTATTTTATTTTTACTTCCCTCGATAAAAGAGAAGTATTGTAATCGCGAAAATTTAGATTTTCACGTTTTCGTGTCCCTAGATTACTAAAAACATGTTTTTCCCATTCCGTCGGTCTGTCTGCCGTCCGCCATCTGTTGTCTGACGTCTGTCTGTTGGCGTGATAGCTCAAAAACGTCTTAAGAGAAAAACTTCAAATAATGTATGCAGGTAAGGTTTCCTCTTGGCTTAAAATAGGTTATACTTCTGGTTAGATATATACAGGGTTAGCAGTTAAAAAAAACATTTATTTTTAAAAGTCAGTAGATTTTGACTAAAATTGGTTTCTGATAAAATTTGTAGGTATCTAATCAAAGATAACAGATCATAAATTACTTTTTAAAAATTCAAAATGATGTGTCCAATACATGACTTACCTATCTAATTATTAGAGACTTTTTCCGGTTATTTTGTACAACCTATATTGCAGCATCTCTGTAAATGTTTAGAGGATAAATATTAAATATATACATTTTCCACATACTTCTAACTCGAAACAATTTTTTTTATATATATAGATATATTCATTGCCAACGCAAACACTGAAAACTTAAAATTTTACATTTTCCTCCAATTTTTCCATTACGGTACATTTTAGAGAAATCAGGTATAAAACAAAACTTATAGAGTTCGATATTGCAAACAACTTTTAGTTTAACAATCTTCTCTTAGGAAAATTTTGTATGTAATAAAAATTATAAAGAATAATATTAGAAGTAACTTTTATTTAAATAATTTTCTTCTTCAATCGTAAATAACGGATATATTTCATAAAATTCTTGTTCCATATAAAATTTTCCTAAAATGGTCCGTAATCGAGAAATTTGACAAAATGTGCAAAACTCTGATTTTTAAGAAAATTGTTAACCTAAAAATTGTTTGCAGTATTGAATTCTATAAGTTTTGTTTTATACATGATTTCTCTAAAATGGACCGTAATGGAAAAATTAGAGGAAAAGTGTAAAATTTTAAATTTTCAGTATTTTCGCTGGCAATGAATATATATAAAAAATGTTACGAGTTAGAAGTATGTGGAAAATATATATATATATATATATATATATATATATATATTAGTTTATCCTCTAAACATTTACAGAGGTGCTGCAATATAGGTTGTACAAAATAACCGGAAAAAGCCTGTAATAACAAGATAGGAAAGTCATGTGTTGAACACATCATATTTTTATTCGTATCACCCAATAAGAGGATTCAAACAACTCAAGAAAATGCTGTTCAAGCAACATCAACATCTTGTTTTGATTTATAATATTAAACGTAATATTTAGATACGTCTAACTCTTTCCTTTTGAGATAATTCCAAATATAAGGCGTAAATACAAGAAAATTTGACTAGCTTCGGATGTGCTTAGTTGCATGATTTTTTTCGCAACTTCCTCTTTATCTCACATCCTAAAAATCAGAAAAAGAATGTACAACGAACTAAGTTAATTTTATAAAAGTTAGTTAACATTCGTTATAAAAAGACCGTGACAATTGATTCTCAAACCTAGTCCGCTCCTGCCGGTTGTATTTCTGACCACCTGCACTGAATTCAGTAAGAATTGTTTTAACTGCCGACGAGTTAGTGAAGACGCAGATTGTTTAGGAGTACATTTTATACGATGGCGAAAGCGGATATACAAAATTTTCTAATGGACAATGATTTGTATTTTCAAGACAGCTATAAGAAATAAGAACTTCTTAAAGTTTACGGACGAAACGATTTAAAAAAGTATACGCCATAGATAGTATTGCTGAATACCATGGACATACTGGATTGAGATGTCCTCCTTATTTTGATATTTCGGTGGCGTACTACTTTTTTTGTAGAAAATATCAAATGACATGTTTGCAGAGACGTCACTGGTAGAGCAATAAAATACATTTTCTAACCAAAATATGTGGTTTTATATCATACTAACACATGCCAAAATTAAAAATTATATCTAAACTATTTTCAGAGATATTAAAAAATATCGCTTTAAAAAAACAAATTTTCAACTCCTTGTAACAAAAAATTGAAGCCGTTGCGGATATAAATTCATATGAACTTTTCTTTATAAAATGACCTGAGAAATCACACCCTACAATATTAGCATACTATTTAAAAACACCCTGTATAACTTGTAAAAACAGGGAAGCCATTTTGAATTTTTTAAAAGTAATTTATGATCTGTTATCTTTGATCAGATTTCTACCAATTTTATCAGAGACCAATTTTAGTCGAAATCTGTTGACTTTTAAAAATAAATGTTTTTTTACTGCTCACCTTGTATATATCTTACCGGAAGTATAACCGGTTTTGAGTCAAGAGGAAGCCTTACCTGCATACAAAATGTGAAGTTTTTCTCTTAAGACGTTTTTGAGCTATTGCGCCAGACGTCAGACAGGCCGACGGAATGGGGAAAACATGTTTTTCGTAATCTAGGGAACTGAAAACGTAAAAATCTAAATTTTCAGGATTACAATACTTCCCTTTTATCGAGGGAAGTAAAAATAAAATAAGTATACTCAATTTCTTGAATGCTCCTCTACTAATTTAAAGGTGATGTATCAGTCGCCTTAGTTTTTTTTGTATGTTGCCGGCTGGCTTTAAAGCTTTAAAGTCACACTAAATCTTTTGC